CAGCTGAGGTACCCGGTTCATCTCACTGGGAATGGCCAGGCAGTGGATCCAACCCACAGAGGGTGAGCAGAAGTAGGGTGGGATATCGCTTCACCCAGGAAGTGCAAGAAGCCAGGAGACCTCTGTCCCCCAGCCAAGGGAGGCCATGAGGGACTGTGCTACCAGACTGGGTTACTATGCTTTTCCCACAGATTTTGCAATTTGCAGATCAGGAGATTCCTTCGTGGGCCCACACCACCAGGGCCCTGGATTTGAATCACAAAACTGGGTGACTGTTTGGGCAGACACTGAGCTAGTTGCAGGAGTTTTTTTCATACCCCAGTGGTGCCTGGAACCCCAGTGAGACAGGCCTTTTCACTCCCCTGGAAAGGGGGCTGAAGCCAGGGAGCCAAGTGGTCTCGCTCAGCAGGTCCCACTCCCACAGAGCCCAGCAAACTAAGAACCACTGGCTTGAAATTCTTACTGCCAGCACAGCAGTCTGAAGTTGACCTGGGACTATCTAGTATGGTAGGGGAGGGGCGTCTGCCATTACTGAGGCTTGAGTAGGTGGTTTTCCCCTGACAGTGCTAAAGAGGCTAGGAGGTGTGGACTGGGCAAATACACCACAGCATGGTAAAGCAACAGTGACCAGACTGCTTCTCTAGATTCTTCCTCACTGGGCAGTGCATCTCTGAAGGAAAAGGAACAGCCCCAGTCAGATGCTTACAGATAAACTCCCATCTCCCTGGGAGAGAGCACCTGGAGGATGGGGCAGCTGTGGGTGCAGCTTCAGCACATTTAATTGTTCCTGCCTGCTGATTCTGAAGAGAACAGCTGATCCTGACAAGAGGGATTCTCCCAGCACAGTACACCAGCTCTGCTAAAGGACAGACTGCCTCAAGTAGGTCCCTGATCCCTGAGCCTCCTGACTGGGAGAGACCTCAACAGGGGTCGACAGACCTCATAGAAGAGAGCTCCAGCTGGCATCAGGCTGGTGCCCCTCTGGGATGAAGCTTCCAGAGGAAGGAGCAAGCAGCAATATTTGCTGCTCTGCAGCCTCCACTGGTAATACCTAGGCAAACAGGGTCTTAAGCAGACCTCCAACAAACTGCATCAGACCTGCAGAAGAGAGGCCCGACTTTTAGAAGAAAAACTAACAAATAGAAAGCAACAACATCAACATCAACATAAAGGACCCCCACGCAAAAACCCCATCCAAGGGTCATCAGCCTCAAAGATCAAAGGTAGATAAATCCATGAAGATGAGGAAAAACCAATGCAAAAAGGCTAAAATTTCCAAAAACCAGAACGCCTCTTCTCCTCCAAATGATCATAACTCCTCTCCAGCAAGGGCACAAGACTGGATGGAGAATGAGATTGACAAATTGGCAGAAGTAGGCTTCAAAAAGTAAGTAATAACAAACTCCTCTGAGCTAAAGGAGTATGTTCTAACCCAACACAAGGAAGATAAGAATTTTAATAAAATGTTACAGGAACTGTTAACTAGAATAACCAGTTTAAAGAACATAAATTACCCAATGGAGCTGAAAAACACAGCACAAGAACTTTGTAAAACATACACAAGTATCAATAGCTGATTTGATCAAGCAGAAGAAAGAGAAGAAAGGATATCAGAGACTGAAGATCAACTTACTGAAATAAGCCGTGAAGACAAGATTAGAGAAAAAACAAGGAAAAGGAACAAAGCCTCGGAGAAATATGGGACTATGTGAAAAGACCAAACCTATGTTCGATTGGCATACCTGAAAATGATGGGGAGAATGGAACCAAGTTGGAAAACATTCTTCAGGATATTATCCAGGAGAACTTCCCCAACCTAACAAGACAAGCCAATATTCAAATTCAGGAAATACAGAGAACACCACTAAGATACTCCTTGAGAAGAGCAACCCCAAGACACATAATCGTCAGATTCTCCAAGGTTGAAACAAAGGAAAAAATGTTAAGGGCAGCTGGAGAGAAAGGTCAGCTTATCTACAAAGGGAAGCCCATCAGACTAATAGCAGGTCTGTCTGAAGAAATCCTACAAGCCAGAAGAGACTGGGGAACAATACTCAACATTCTTAAAATAAAAGAATTTTCAACCCAGAATTTCATATCCAACCAAACTAAGCTTCATAAGTGAAGGAGAAATAAATCCTTTCCTGACAAGCAAATGCTGAGGGATTTTGTCACCACCAGGCCTGCCTTACAAGAGTTCCTGAAAGAAACACTGAATATGGAAAGGAAAAACTGGTACCAGTCACTGCAAAAACATACCAAAATATAAAGACCAAACAACAAAGTCAAATTTTCTCTGTTTGCAGATGACATGATTGTAGATTTAGAAAACTCCATCATCTCCACCCAAAAACTCCTTAAGCTGATAAGCAACTTCAGTGAAGTCTCAGGATACACAATCAATGTGCAAAAATCACAAGCATTCCTATACACCAACAATAGACAAGCAGAGAGCCAAATCATGAGTGAACTCCCATTCATAATTGCTACAAAGAGAGTAAAACACCTAGGAATACAACTTACAAGGGACGTGAAGGACCTCTTCAAGGAGAACTACAAACCACTGCTTAAGGAAATAAGAGAGGACACAAACAAATGGAAAAAAAAATGTCATGCTCATGGTTAGGAAAAATCAATATCATGAAAATGGCTCTGTTGCCCAAAGTAATTTATAGATTCAATGCTATTCCCCCTAATCTACTAACGACTTTCTTCGCAGAATTAGAAAAAACTACTTTAAATTTCATATGGAACCAAAAAAGAGCCTATAGAGCCAAGACAATCCCAAGGAAAAAGAACAAAGCTGGAGGCATCACGCTACCTGACTTCAAACTATACTACAAGGCTACAGTAACCAAAACAGCAGGGTACTGGTACCAAAACAGATATATAGACCAATGGAACAGAACAGAGGCCTCAGAAATAACACCACACATCTACAACCATCTGATCTTCAAGAAACCTGACAAAAACAAGCAATGGAGAAAGGATTCCTTATTTAATAAATGGTACTGGGAAAACTGGCTAGCCATAGGCAGAAAACAGAAACTGGACCCCTTCCTTACACCTTATACAAATATTAACTCAAGATGGATTAAAGACTTAAATGTAAAACCCCAAACCATGAAAACCTAGGCAGTACCATTGAGGACATAGGCACGGGTAAAGACTTCATGTCTAAAACACCAAAAGCAATGTCAACAAAAGCCAAAATTGACAAATGGGATCTAATCAAACTAAAGAGCTTCTGCACAGCAAAATAAACTATCATCAGAGTGAACAGACAACCTACAGAATGGGAGAAAATTTTTGCAATCTACCCATCTAATAAAGGTCTACTATCCAGAATCTACAAATAACTTAACAATACAACAAAGAAACAACCCCATCAAAAAGTGGGCAAAGGATATGAATGGATACTTCTCAAAAGAAGACATTTATGTGGCCAAAAAAACATATGAAGAAAACCTAACCATCACTCGTCATTAGAGAAATGCAAATCGAAACCACAGTTAGATACCATCTCACTCCAGTTAGAATGGCGATCATTAAAAACTCTTGAAATAACAGATGCTGGTGAGGTGTGGAGAAATAGGAACGCTTTTACACTGTTGGTGAGAGTACAAATTAGTTCAATCATTGTGGAAGACAGTGTGGTTATTCCTCAAGGATCTAGAACCAGAAATACCACTTGACCCAGCAATTCCAGTACTGGGTATATACCCAAAGGATTATAAATCATTTTGCTATAAAGACACATGCACATGTATGTTTATTGCAGCACTATTTACAATAGTAAAGACTTGGAACCGATCCAAATGCTTATCAATGATAGACTGGATAAAGAAAATGTGACACATATACACCATGGAATACTATACAGCCATAAAAAAGAATGAGTTCACATCCTTTGCAGGGACATGGAAAAGCTGGAAGCCATCATTCATTCTCAGCAAACTAACACAGGAACAAAAAAACTAAACACCACGTGTTCTCACTCATAAGTAGGAGTTGGACAATGAGAACACATGGACACAGAGAGAGGAACATCACACACTAGGGCCTGTCAGTGGGGTGGGGGATTAGGGGGAAAGGAGAAGGAGAGCATTAGGACAAATACCTAATGCATGTGGGGCTTAAAACCTAGATGATGGGCTAATAGGTGCAGTAAACCACCATGACACATGTATACCTATGTAACAAACCTACACATTCTGAACATGCATCCCAGAAGTTAAAGTAAAATAAAAAAATTTTTTAAATCTATTAATATATCTGATATAAAAGCTTAAGATTTTAAAATATTCTATCAATGAGGTAAAAGGTTCAAAAGGTGAAAAATGTGGGTATATAAATTAACCCAAGTTAAAAATTAAACAAGGAATTACATAAGAGAAACATAGAAGAGAAAATGAGGGGAAAAAGAGCACAGAATTTGAAAATAAGAAATATGCATGAAGAATAAAACTGTCAGGAGTGAGGACCAAGGAAAATCCTTCGGTTTGTTTCTGCTCCAAGGGCAGGGAATTGGGTTCTCTCTGATTTATCTCTTTCCACCAATTCATAATTCATGCTGTGGCAGGCCAGGTCTCACTAACAACTATTTCAGTACTGACTGAGTGGTTAAGTTAAATATTGAAAGCCAGTGCCCTTCTACAAAGGCTGGGATGTAACAAAAACCCACCAAGATTTTGGCTTAGGCCTTTCCTGGGCCTTAAGGAATTCTTAACAGGACCCATTCAGGATTAAACAAGTTTTACTGTGGGTCTGAAGAAACTCCCCAGGCCTCCACAAACAAGTTTATTGGGGGTCTGAAGGAACTCCTCAAACCTCCATGATTTAGCAGGAGACAAGATAAGGTCAATCACCCCAGCACGTGGACCCATTTAGATGAAGTAAATGTACTGAGGCTCCAGAGGAAGGTCTTCAGGACTCAGACCTTAGTTATAGATTAAAAGAAGTTAATCACTTATGTCTTTAGATGAATGCACACTTATATGCAGACAAATAGCTTAGGAAAACTGTACAAGCTTTGGAAAACTGTAATTTTGAGTTGGTCTGGTGATCATTTCCAGGTCTTCTCCCTGTAACCAGTTACAGAAATAAAAACTCTCCTCCTCCCCAGTTCATCTGCATCTTGTTATTGTGCTGCGCGAAATAGCAGCCTGACCCTCAGTTTGGCCTGGGATCAAAATGTGGCACACAAGCCAGGAAGTAAGGAGAGTGCTGCATTCAGCAGCTGGCAACTTGCTACGAGACAGTCTTCAGGAGGATCCCGGCAGCTGCTGGGTGAGGTCTCCCCAAGGACCCTCCAGAGGGCTGTTGTGCGCAAATCTGCACGTCCTTTTCACTACTGGGGAAAAACAGAGATCAGGAGCAGATGCGCTCAAAGGGTGAGTTAACCAGATTCTACGCCAGGAGCCTACCGTTTTCGTATCTGGGCTTGGTAAGCCATTTGTCTGGTACCGCCAAGGGAAGCAATAAGTCTCGCTCATATACCTGCTTTGCATTTTGATTGAGATCAGGTTTTGGGTTGGTTCTGAGTCTGTTTTGCCTGAGTGCACTCCCGCTTGTGTTGTTCAAAATTTGTCTCCACTTGTTTGTGTATCTGTCTTATTCCTTTTGTTACCATGTAAACTTGAAAGTGGGAGTTATAGGGTACATTCCTGCTGAGAGGCCTCTAGGAAGGATTTTTTTTTTTTTTTTTTTAGGAGTTCATTGGTGAAAAGTCAGCTTAATGAAAGCTAACATCCAAGATATGTATATGTATGTGTGCATGTGTACATGTTTGTATTTAAAAGGCCTTCATGGTTTTGTTTTCATTTATCTCCTAGGACCTTGTGTTTTTGAGAAAAGGTGGGTTTTTTTTTCTTCTCAGTTAACTGAATTCTGTTTTCTTCATTAATAGCTATTACAACAAAAGCTACTGTGAGGTTTTTAAGAAAATTAAGTGTAATTTAGACACTTAGAAATGTCTTTGTTTACGGAAAAAAAAAATATAAGTGCATTGTAAAAGCCTCACATGGTCTAGTCTCAGAATAATTCTCCGTCTTTGAAAACCCAGGATTCAGTGTAAGACCTGCCCAGAACTCAAAGATCCAGTTAAAAGACAGGAAAAAGGAGGTCTTCTGAATCTATAAAATGTACTTCTATTGGCATGCCTAATACGTCTGTGTATTTATGTCTTGTGTACACCATGTTTCATGACTGAAAATATATAAAAGTTCTGATTAATTGGCTCAAAGAAAAATAAAAGCACTTAAATACTTTAACAACAAAAAGGAAAGACTAGTCAAATGCTTTTTCAAGTTTCTGTGACTTAAGTAAAACCTTTAATAAATAAGCTAGCTTTAAAAATTATTGGTAAAGTAATATTAAAAATATCTTAAGAGTTGCTAGCATACATTTTTGTTTGCAGTTATTAATCAAGGAATTTCATACTTATCTCTTCCAAATACTATAAGGTATTTGGCATAGAGGCTACAAAACTATAACTCAGCCCAGAACAGAATGATCTTTACTTGCATAATTTTTAATAAACAAAACATTAATATTGGTTTAATGAACATAGCTACATTTTGAACTATTTAGTAAAATACCCTAACTTCTAATCCTGTGGTCTTAGGCAGGCTAGACTACAAACATGAAGGAAGTTTGTTCTGAGGAAGGACTGTTATCATCTTTGTTTCAGTGCTAAACTATAAACTAAGTTAATGAATAAGAATAGCTTGGAGGTTAGAAGCAAGATGGAGTCAGTTAGGTCAGATCATTTTTGCTGTCTGAGTTATAATTTTGCAATGGTGGTTTTATAATTTTAAATATTGACTTTTGCAATTTTCATAAATCTAGGTAAATTATTAAAATAAATAATTAGATAAATGTAATGGGATAAATGCTCATAAACAAACTTGTCATTATTTGGGTGTTTCCCAATGAAAATATATTGTAGGAAAATGTTCTTTCTAAAGATTGTATCCTTTTTAAAGGGTAATTAATTTTTGTCTAATTCAAAGCTTATTTAAAGGTTATATATAAAACAAGGTAAAAGAAATCAGGAAATAAGAGAGATATAAAGAAAGTGATAAAAATAAAGAGTTTGAAAAAGTATTGGTAAAATTAAAATATCTTCAAAAGTGTCAACATTTGGCCTAAATTATGCAGGTAAAATATTACGTTTGCTAAATGCTTTAGATCATAAACTGCTTCTTTGACTTAAAAATTGTTAATTTATTTTAGAGAATTAAATTCCAGATAAGGCCTGGGACACATGGAGTTAGACACTGGAATAAGTAAGACCTTATCTACACTTTTGTGTGGGTCCTAGACTCCACACCTAATACGTAATTAAATCACAGAATTACCAAGGTTTTCACCATAAGTAAAGGTTGCTAAGAGTTAACAGTATAACATGTATTTCAGACTATTGAAGAAACAGTTTACATGCAAGGTGTGTAAGGAAAGTAAAATATACTTTTGGTTAAAAGATTGTAAGGAGGCACGAGAAAGTGGATTTTTGCCTTTTAAAGGTTAAAAGATTGTTTTAAGTGAATAAAATACAGATGAAGGTTTAAGCAAGCTGTGGAAGGTTAATTGTAAAGGAAATTCTTTGTGTAAACATATTGGTTAGAGTTAAAGTAGTATCATCCAGTTTTTCTGTAAATTGAGCATTAAAATGAAAGCACAATGGATTTCTCTTAGCGCTCTAAACTGCTCTTTAACAAAAATTGTAAAGGGTTATAAAAGATCTATAAAAATCTTACTTTATGATCAAACATTAAAATTGAGTAAATATATCTGTAAGGATTTATTAAGAATTGGGTTTAACATTAATAGTACACTAATGTAAAAGTAAAATTTGGCTTATTTGGTGTAAAAATCATGCAGAAAGCATTGTCAAAAATGAGATGGTGTTTGGTTTTCTTTAGGCTATATTGGTATAAATATGTTATTGGTATGTGTTCCAAAATCATGTGAAACTCCTATCATTCTGATATGTCTTAGTGTACATTTTCAGTAATAATTATAACTGTTATGGTAAATTATTGTGTGCCACAGAGGTAACAGATCTCCTTGTCGATTGTTGTCTTGTTTTGGTCCTCTTTAGAAGGTGCTCTTGAATGCAGGTTTCTAATAACTTTGGAGATTATGACATCGGAATAGAGGAAAAACATTCAGGACTCTTGAAGAACTAAAATATTCATTAATATCAAGCAGGATGGGAATTAACTGCATGAACTGAACTGATAGGAGACTGAAGTGATCTTTTTGACTTTTTGCTTAAAATGCTGCTGATCCTTTGTTTTGCTTTTCAGAGTCAAGGAAGCTTTTCTTTTGTGCTACTAACAGCTTTTAACAATTAAATAAAGTATACTCCTATGAACAAAATTTGGAGTATGTTTGTTTCTCTCTGACTGGTCCCTCTAGAATTTGGAAACTATCTGTGAGTATTCTTAATTCAGGGCAATATAATTATTTGCATAAGTGCAATAAAAATCTGTTTTCTTTTGTAACATGTCACAGTTGGAACACCTGGTTATTTTAACAAGGCTTTGACTGGAATGGTATGCTCTTGTTTAAGGAATCAAACAACTTATGGAGCCAATAAAGCCCTTGGAAACCTGGCCTCATATTTTGTGTACACAGTCCCTGTACAGGGTTTCTGATGTGTGGTAAGTATAGAATGTCACTTTCTGACGGGTCAGGAGCCCCAAGTTATCTTGGAACCTCAAGAGGAGAGGAAGTCACCCAACTCATAAGTATTTGATGGAACAAATCCATGTCTGGGTTCATCTTTAAAAAAGTCTTATCCCGGATTCCTTCTATGGAACAAAGTTCCATCAAAGACAATATAAAAGGCCTATGTGAAAAATAATTATTCTTGCAGCACTGTATATAAATAATCAGACCAAGTATAATAACGCAAACCAGTCCTACCATGATTTTTCTTTTAATAAAAATGGGAAACTGAAGAAAGAAAAAATATTTTTCAAAAAATATAGTACACCTGTTGTTAAATTCTAGTCTTGCGTGATGTTTTTCCTATGATTTCAGCATCTGCATCACCTGGGAACTCAGAGATGCAGATTCTCAGGCTCTACTGAGAAAGAGTCTGTGGGTGGGAATCGGAAATCTGTGCTTTAACAAGCCCTGGGGGATACCGATGATGCTAATGTTTAAGATGTCTGGTTTACATGATCTTCACTATTGCATTTTCACTTAATCAAGTATTGCTAGAATACAGACTCTAGAGTCAGATGACATAGATCTGAATCTCAGCTCTACCCCTTAAAGATGCTTTATGACCTTGTACATGTTACTCGGCCTCTTTACACCACAGTTTCCTCTTTTGTTAAAGGGAGATGGCATCCTCGTTGATAAGCCCCCTGCCCACTGTGTCTTCCCTCTCCTCCCCTTCTTCACAGAGTTAGAGGAGTTAGATTCCTCACATTTCTGTATGTACTTCAGTGGTTCTCCTGCACTTTCAGAAAGCAATCAGACTCCCAGCCATGGCATCCAAGGCCTCTCAAGACTATCCAGCACATTCCTTACCATTCATTTCTCCCCTTGCTGCTTTCACACCAGCAGGACTAAATGCCTTACAGCTGACTTCCAAGGGGAGCCACATCATTTCAAATTGTCACTTGCCTGGTCTGTGGCTCATTCTGGATCACTCCTCTACCACCCAGAACACCACCAGCCATCCCTTCAGATCCCACCTCTTCAGTGAAGCTCCCGCAACATCCTCTCTTCTCTTTCCCGTCTTCTGCAGAAATGATCAGTTCTTCCACTGGATTATTACCCCATCTGACACATAAACCAGTTATGAGACTGAAGCTCCTTGAGGGTGAGAGGCATTTTCTCAGGCCTTTGACAGGAAGCGCAGTAGCTGACACACAGAAGCATGCTCTCACTTAGCTTTTCCTCACAGAAGGGGTGAGAAAAATGGGAAGTGAAATGCTAGTGGACTTATCTGAATCTTCCACTAGGCTATAAGCTTTGTGAGAGTGGCAACACTGTCTCACACAGTGGTCCCCAACCTTTTTGTTAGATTCTCATAAGGAACACGCAACCCAGATCTCTCGCACACACACAGTTCATGGTAGGGTTCGTGTTCCTATGCGAATGTAATGCGGGAATACTCACCGCTGCTCACCTCCTACTGAGTGATCCAGTTCCTAACAGGCTACAGACTGGTGCCCGGACCATGGCCGAGCCTTGGGGATCCCTGGTCTAAAACATTTTATCACTGTGTCTCCGATGCTACCTCAGTGCCGATTACACAATAAATGCCCAGATATTGATTGAATAAATGAATAATGGAAATTTAACGATCAGCACCAAAATGGAGTCACTTCTTCATGAGAAGGCAGGAAATAGAATTGGATGAGGAATGCTATTTACTGTGACATCAAGCACTGCCTATAAATGATCTCATGTATCCTCCCAATTTGTGCAAGTTGGAATTTATGGTGCCTCTGTAAGAGAGGATAAAGCTGAGACAAAACAGTGGAAGTAATTCACCAAAGGTCAAACTAAGGTCAGAGGTCAGATTTGAAGTCAAGTCGGTCTGAAATAAAAAATTCTGCTAAATTGCTTGAAACTGTTTTCCCTAAGAAACTTATTACTTCAGTAGTAGGAATAAGGGACAATGCCAGTAACTGCATGCCAGAGAGAAAAACGTGAGAGTGACCAAAAAAAAAAAAAAAAAAAAAAGGAACAAAAGCATAGGAGATTTGGGTGATTGCAGTGAATCAATGGAATCAATGACCTAAGAGAAACAAAGGGGAAAGTCAAAATGGGGAATAAAATATAAGGAAAAGGAGCCCAGGGAGGACAGCCAATGACAAAAGCTGAGCTCAAGGAGCCTGTTAAGGGCAGGAAATGCTCAACAGTTTTGGAAACAATTTGAACACTATCAAAAGCAAACCCACAAAGCCTTTCTGCAACTTCAGCACCTCCGACTGCTAAGCAAGTTACAGTAAAATCCAGAAGTAGGGCAGAAGCGCAGCTCTGCGTGGGAGTTCAAAGCCACGTCAGCTCCAGGCCAGGGGGATTGCCCTGAGTGGGGACAGCCAGGGACCTATGCAGGGTGTGAGTGTTTCATCAGAAGCGAGCAGGGACACAGTCCCCAGGGCACAGTCAGCTGGAGCACACTGTCTTCATATCAGGGAGCTGGAGGAGGAATGAGGAAAAATATAAAGCGAAGATGATAGTACAGGCAACAGCTTTATGATTCTAGGGCTTCAAATATGATTTAAGATTTGAAGGGCGGGAAGGATGCAGATGAGTGCAGAGGGGAGAAGAGGGTCTTTTAGGAGGAAGAACACCAGGAGCAAAGGCGATAGAGTGGGAATTATTGCTTAGGGTGTGTGAGCATGCAAGCATCTGTGCAAGGGGTGAGGAAAATTGACTGGGGTACCTATAATACATTTGTCTTGGGAAATGAAAGGAAACAGGACTATATACTTTAAAAAAATCTCTAGCCTAATTTGGACTGAAGTGTTACATGGAGTATATCTTTCAGATCATAGCATTAGTTTAAAGCTAAATGTAATTTTAGAGAACCTCCAGCATAAACACCTCATAAAATGGGACCAGTCAGTTTATGTGGCTTGATACGGAAGTTTGAAACTAAGAACAATACATTTTTTGTTGTTAAATGCTAAATGAGTTAAAGAATAGTGTTTACTATTAGGGTATTTCTGGGAAATACAAGGCCTCTCTCCCTCCCTCTTCCCCCCCCCTTCCTCTGTCTCTCCCTCCCTCCTTCCCTCCTTCCCTTCCTTTCTTCTTCTCTTCCTTCCTCTCTTCTCTCTTACCCTTCCTTCCTCCGTCTTCTCTCTCTTCCTTCTTTCCTTCCTTCTTTCTTTCCTCCATTACTATGTACTAAATACCAACTGTATGCCAAGCACATAGTAAAGGAACATGACTGGCATGATCATTGACTAAATGCAACTTCTCCAGTAAGAGATGAGAGGGTGGGAGTTGTGGGGGTTGAGGCTGGTGCAAGGCTGCCTCTGTCCAATTCAACAAGCTTGATTTGGCTCTTTTTCGTCCAAGTAAGACGAGGCTCAGTAGGTTGTACTCAGCTTTCATTTCTATTTCTGAGTTTATTAAATAACTTTCCATAAAAATAGCTAAGCTTAACAAGAATTAAAATGATGCAAGCAGTTTGTAGATTAGTAAATGTAGTGACAAAACATGTGGGAAGGGTTCAGTCTCTGTAATAATTACAAGAAAAACAGTTTAAAACAAGTATTGCATATTTATTGAATTAGTTAAAAAATAAATTTATTTAACATAATTATATATAAAATAACGAATTAGTTCAACCACTTTGGAGAGCTATCTGGCAGTGTAAGAGCTACAGGATTCATTATACCTATGATTTAGTCCTCTCATTTTGACCATATATTTTAAGAAAAAATAAACAAATAAAAGGTGAAAAATCACAAATAATACTGCTTGTGATAGTTTCAAAACTTGAACAAGCTCCAGAGAACTGGCAATTTCCATGGCTTCCTTGGTATTCCCTAGAGCTTCTGTCCAATATCCAGTCTTCACTCTCATCCTCCCTAATCCATCTTCTAGAGGACATATTTTCTCATGAAAGTATCTAATAAAACTCAATATACTCATTATATAATTATTTTAAAAGTCAATACAAATAGAAAGTGGCTATTTACATGTCAAAACTGTTCTCTCTTTATAAGTGAATTCATTACAGGTTGGCTCATTTAAATGACAAATCTCCTCTAGCATTTACCAGTGTGATTTTTAGAGTAATTATTTGACAGAGGCTGGGAACAGAAAAGGGTCTACAGAACTACCTGATAAAATATCATCAGATATTAAAACCAAACTCCACTTAAATGATTAAAAAGACAAAGAGGAAGTTGAATTTTAGTATCACATGCAACACAGGGATTCCTCAACCTATGATAACATGAGCAGCCTGTGAGAGTCACCAAGGCGTAGGCAATTGAGGACGTGAGGAAAGCCCTGGGCCCACATTTTCCCAAGGTCATTCTGCAGACAATACTTCTGGAAATGGTAGTAGTGTCCTTTGCTTCCCAAAGGGTTTGGGGGCCAAACTAATCTGAGGACAACTTGGAAAAACAAAGCAAAAATGTTGGCTTCTCACAAGATTTGGGATTCTGTGTATTTCCAAGAGGGGAAACTGCACTGAAGCAGTTCTCAAATTTGTTAAAGGAATCCTGTTTGCCAGAAGCATCTGGAGGGTTGACGTCAGGTAGAAGCCACTTAAGAGAACACTGGGATTTGTATTTAATTAACTTTGTGAGAAAAACATTCTGTAAAACTTTAAACAAATGATAATTACACTTGTAATCCTAGCACTTTGGGAAGCCAAGGCAGGCAGATCGCCTGAGCTCAGGAGTTCTTGACCAACCTGACCAACAAGGTAAAACCCTGCCTCTACTAAAGTACAAAAAAAAAAAGAAAAAAAGAAAAAAGAAATTATCTGGGCATGGTGGTGGGCGCCTGTAGTCCCAGCTCCTTGGGAGGCTGAGGCATAATAATTGCTTGAACCCAGGAGGCAGAGGTTCCAGTTAGCCAAAAACACACCACTGCCCTCCAGCCTGGATGACAGGGCAAGGCTCAGTCTTAAAAAAAAAAAAAAAAAAAAAAAAGCTAACTACATTTATTATGTTTTGTCCTCTGATCTTTAATATTTTACAAAGTTGTAGTCATTGTATACATACTATTTCATACTTAATTTTTTGCTTGACACAGTATTCCATTATTCTTTATTATTTCCAAGTGTTGACACAGTTAACATTGCTATCATTTAAAATATTATATATCTACAATTTTGAAACAGCATAAAGCACACAACTATTCTCAATTCATTTCAATAGACATGTATTACTAACTGTTTAGAATCTGAGGTTCTTGACACCTTTCCTGCCGCAAAACATCTCAGGGGTAAAATACATTCTCATCACCAATATTGGCTCACTCTGGCAATTGTTTCAGAGTCTTCTGGGTTAGAGGAGGGCTGGGGTGGGGGTTGTAATTGCTAAGGGACTCATAACCACACATGATTTTCATTGCCCCTCTCCACTACTGTCCTAGTTGAGAATCTCTGTCTTAGACACTATGAATCAGACACAGTCCCAATTCTTAAGAAGTTCACAAAAAGTCAGATATAGATACATAGACACACATATGCAGGTGCACACACAATACTATAACATAAGGCTGGGTGTGAGGTAAGATGAGGTCATATTAAAATACATAAATAAATAAAAGTCCTAAGATGCTCCACAGAGAAGAAAAATGACTTCTACTTGGAACATTTGGAATGAATTTTAAGGAAGACATAGTCTTTTCCTCCATTTTTTCCCTTATCCCACAAATTCAGTTCATCAGCAAGTCCTTCAAAATGTAACAATAGAGAATGCTTACTGAGTGCTTACTCTGCCATGGACTTTTAAAAGTGCTTTATAAGTATTAACTTTAGTCTTCATCATATCCCTATAAGTAGATGTCCTCTATCTGATCTTACAGACAGACAAACTGAGGCATAATGAAGTTCAGTAAGTTGCTAAAGATCCCACAATTAGCGTTAGAGCTTGGATGAGCCCAGGGAGTCTAAGTCCAGAACCTGCATCTCCATCCCTACGCCATTGGCTCCCATCAGTCACATCCCTCTACTTCTTTTCAAACCCACTCCCTCCACTCTGATGAAACCACCATCATCTTCTGCTTGGATTTGTGAAATGGCTTCCGAAAGGCTCTTCTTGCTTCCCCACCTTCCCCCTTTGTTAATCCATTCTCCCTGTGTCATCCTGGGTGATCTTTCTAAAATATATGCCACTTGTTGTTTAAACTCCTTCAGTATCTCCTATCTCACCTAGAGTAAAATCCAAGTTTCCTACCAAGATCCAGTGAACAAAAACCCTGCATCCCCTGACTTCTACCCATCTCCACCACCTCACCTCACACTAGGCTCCATACACTTTGGCTCCTTTTTTTCTTCCAGATCTTTCCCTCCTCTGGGACTTCTCACTTGCTCCCCTCTGCCTGGTATAACATTCCCCAGACTCCTCCCATGGCACGCTCCTCAGCTTCACAGACCTCCCTCTCTGAAATGCATCCCTGTGTTCACTCTCACATCATACTCATTTCCTCTGTAGCACTTTTCTCGAAAGTATTGTTAATTGTTCACTTATTAATAAATTGTCCCCACTAAACTATAAACTCCCTGAAGACGGGGTCTGTCTTATTCACTCCTGTTTTCTCAGCAGCTAGCACAGTTCCTGGCGTATAGTTGGTGCTCAATAAATATTTCCTGAATAATGAATGAATTAAGAGTAGAAATGTAAAAATAAAATGCAAAATTGAATTCTCATATGCCAAAGTGGCTCATAGCTGCCTCAGGTTGAACGTGCCTTAAAACAAAGTAGAAAACCAGGAAACACAGCAGTCTCATTTATGCTTTCTAGACTGTGTGGCACAGCATCATGGAACAAAAACATGAAATGAATATCGGAGACCTAGAGCTTCAGAATTTTCTGAAGACCTAGTGCTTCAGAATTTTCTTGACTTATTTTACAAGCTATCACAAGAGACTATATAGGCCAGGCGCAGTGGCTTACACCTGTAATCCCAGCACTTTTGGGAGGCTGAAGTGGGTGGATAACGAGGTCAGGAGATCGAGACCATCCTGGCTAACACGGTGAAACCCCGTATCTACTAAAAACACAAAAAAAAATTAGCAGGGCCTGGTGGCGGGCACCTGTAGTCCCAGCTACTCAAGAGGCTGAGGCAGGAGAATGGTGTGAACCTGGGAGGCAGAGCTTGCAGTGGGCCGAGATTGCGCCACTGCACTCCAGCCTGGGTGACAGACCAAGACTCCATCTAAAAAAAAAAAAAAAAAAAGAATATATATAACAAGAGGAGGAGACAGAGAAGTAGGAGAAGAGGAAGAAGGAGAGGAGGAGAAGGAGAATGAAAGAGACAGAGAGAAGGGGAGGAAATGCTAATATTTATTCATTAGGTCCTGTTTTAAATGCTTTTATGTATAAACTCATTTACTTCTTATAACAACTGCTAGGGTTATCTGTCCCGGCATAATTAACTATCCCTAATATTAGTGACTGAAACAAAAGGCATTTTCATTATAGCTTGCAATTATGTCATGTAGGAGTCTGAGCAGAGCTGGGATGGACCATTTGTCTGTTTTGCACAGCATTTACTTGGTGATCTTCAGCCAGACTGGTAGGGAGGTCTAACATGCCCTCATTCCCATTCCAGGAGCCTTAGTGGTGATGGCTGAAGGCTGGGCTCTACTGAGCCTTTCCTCCTCTCCCTCTCCATGTGGTGTCTCCAGAGTAGCTGGACTTCTTACATGGAAGCTCAGGGCTCCAAGAGACCAAGGAAGAGTTGCCAGTTGTCATAAAGGCTAGGTCCAGAGCTAACACGCCATCCCTTCTATATTACTTCATAAGTAAAAGCAGTCACAGCCCAGCCCAGATTTGGAGAGTGGAGAAATAAACACCAAATAAACACCAGCACTTTTTTGGTTATTTTTTGGGACAGCATCTTGCTTTGTGACCCAGGCTGGAGTGCAGTGGTGCAATCTTGGCTCACTGCAACCTCCACCTCTCAGGTTCAAGCAATCCTCCTACCTCTGCCTCCTGAATAGCTGGGACTACAGGGGTGTGCCACCATGTACAACTAATTTTTGTATTTTTGTTTTTTTTTTTTTTTTTTTAGTAAAGACGGGGTTTCACCATGTTGGCCAGACTGGTCTGGAACTCCTGGGCTCAAGTGATCCTCCTGCTTCGGCCTGCCAAAGTGTTGGGATTACAGGCATGAGCCATTGGGCCCAACCTAAACACCCTCCTTGATGAGAAAAGAGGCAATGAATTTGTGGCCACCTTTAATCTGCCATAATAATCCTATCATTTCTAGTCTTCAGATGAAACTACTGAAAGCACAGAGAATTGGTAGGCCCAGACAAGCCTCTGCCTTAATTTCTACACTGGTCAAGTGACGGTAGTTAATTCCTTTCATAACTGTTTTACAGAGTAAACCAGGAGATAAATATTGAGTAACAATCATGTACAATATGCTTATGTACAATAGTGCTCACCGTTGTAGAAGGAAAAATTGAGGATAACAACCCAGTTTCTTACTCTACATGTGAAAATTAAAAAACATCCTCTCTCTCCCTCTCTCTCTCTCTCTCTCTCTCTCTATATATATATATATGAAACTATTATCTGATCTATTCTAAATAACCCCCTGTAAGAAACATGAAATTTAGCTTCAAGAGATCAAGGTGCTGATCTCTACGAGTGGCTGTGGGACCCTGAAGAAGTCACTTCACCTTCCTGTGTCTCTTTGCCTGTAAAACAGGGGATTACAGTAGATGACTTCTAGGCTTCCTCCAAAATTTGGGTATCTGATTCAAAGTTTTAAAAATGCTTTTGTGCTACTATTCACATTTGCTGTGGGATGGGTTCCCCCACCTACAACAGCTACCTTGTCCTAGTTCCAGCAGAGAAGTCTTGTCTGCTCTTGGTTGAATGCAGCCACCCTTACAGTAGGAAAGGCTGCCTGATTCTCCCTTTGTAGCAGGTACATTCAAAGACACACAGAGGTATCTTTGTCCAGTGGCACCAGAAGTCAATGTTCCCAAGAGCATGTGGAATATGTAGACATTTTATTATCTCAGGGAATATAATATGTCCTATAAAAATGCCCTCTGTTCCCTGCTTTTCCTCCCCTTGTAAGAGTATAGCTGGAGAATCAAAATAGTTATCACAGGAAAACAACATCAAACTTTCATTTTCCAAGGTAGTTACCACAACAAATGCACATTCTTGCTTTGGGCTTTGAAGAGTTCCCTTCATTTCCTCTGTTACTGGCTATCAGTGGGTTTGGGTATGACACACCTTCTCTCTCACTCACAGCCATAAAGGTAAAGGGTACTGAGAGAGAGTAAGCCATGACTCATTTTTGCATCTTTTGGTTTTTGATCAAATGCCAACAGATGGCAAGAGATAAATAAATGAGTCTTCAATAATGGGGTATGTGGAAACCGGTAACATTTGATGGGTAATTATTCAAGTTTCATTATTAATTTTCCTCTTCCTAAAATTATAAATAAATGTAGCACAATAGGCAAAGGACACTATCCTAATACTATCTGGGAGGAGAAAGAAATTGCCTTCCCAGCAGCACTATTCAAATCTGCATGCAATTTACTCACACATATTCAAGTAGGAGGTAAGGTAATAACTGCTTACCATAAAACCTTGGGGTTTCAGATCATCATGGCAAATGCACATTATTTGTGTAACAAATTATAGAAAGAGTTTCTCTTTTTAGACGCATTCATTTTCTGTCCTTAAAAGCAACAGAAAGGGGAAAATGCTTTCTAAAATGACCAATATCAGCATCTTATGCAACCTAATAGTATATAGAGTTGGAAAGAACATGAGAGAAACCGGCCCTCTCATTTTACAAAGAAAGTAAACTATGATTCAGAGATAAATGACTTGCCCAAGAAAACAGAGGCAATGGGTAGTCAGGCCCAAACTAGTCAGGCCTCCTGAGTCTCATCACAGAGCCCTTTCCAGCATCCATGATACTTCTGGAAGAGGTAGCCTTGGCGTTTATTCCATTATTGCCCTGGACCATGACATTTTGAGGAGAGACAGAAGATGAAACAGCAGTCCTCCTTTATAAGCATGGTATCTGAAATGCAGCAGGTGCTTATAGGCATCTATGGAATGAATATATCAAAAATGCATCACTTTGGACCAAAAAAAAATAATACTCTGACCTAACAACCAGAGCCAAAAAAAGTCATAAGGACGATAGCAAGTGGGAGTGTGTTCTCCAAGTGTTCCTTGATGTAATTCTCACCACTTCAACAATATTTTAAACTCTGTATGAGCTGAAGTTATGTCATTTATATGTTTTCCTTCCTTCACACCCGAATATCAGGAATGCTGTTAAAAATTCCACATTTTTGGTCCCCAAATCAGGACATATGATGTGAAAAGGAGTTTTTCACTGCTTCTTGAGGTGGTGAGCTGTCTAGCGGATGGAACCGTTGTTGTTTTAACAGCTCTATTGACATATAATTCCCATACCATACATTCAGTTATTCAAAGCGTACGATTCAGTGGCTCACCAACTTGTGCCACCATCATTCCAATACATTTTAGAGCATTTTTGTCACCTCAAAAAGAAATCCCATATCTCATAGCCTTAATTTCAACCTCCACCCACCCTATGTCCCAGCCACTCACAACCACTCACTTACTTTCTGTCCCTATAGATTTGCCTGTTCTGGACTTTTCATATAAATAGAACCACACAATATTTAGTCCTTTGTGACTGGTTTCCTTCAGCTGGCATGATGTTTCTAAAGGCCCATTTGTGTTGAACATGTATCAGTACTTCATTTATTCTTATGGCCAAATAATATTCCATTATATGGATATAGTACGGTTTATTTATTCATTTATCTTTGATGGACATTTGGGTTGCTTACACTTTTTGGCTGTTATGAGTAATGCTAACAGATTTTTTGGAGAATACAACTTTCATTTCTCTTATGTATATAGCTAGGAGTGGAATTGCTGAATTATTAGCAGATGGTTTTAATGTAGAAATATTTGAGTTAATGAAATATTTTCTATGAATTATGAAGGAAGTTAGACCCAATAATTGAAACAAGATCCATCTCATATATATTGATGCCAAGCCTAAGGGAGGAATTTATTCATTTTTTTTGAACTGGTTTAAGCCCAGAGTCAATCCTTGCCATTTCTCTATTGTAGAAAATCCTTGTTGTAGATAGATGACCCTATTGTGGACAGGTGCACATTTTCCAAGTATACCTCTCTCTCTACTCAATAAACCCATAGAATGATTCCGAAAATGCATACTTAATATTAGGAATGTCACAGAGCTATGAATATATATATATTTGAATATATATATATATATTTATTTCACCTCAGACCTCCTCAGGCAGAAGAAGACAAGAGAAAGACTATATTTTCTTAAAGAGATATGAGCCATCTGGATAAAATCAACAAAACTTTATATTCTAAAGTTGCAAATAAAATTATTAATAGCAGTCACATTTAAAGAACAGTAGAGATGTATGTATTATAGACACACTCTATTGAAATTCTATTCAAATTCAATGTGAACTCTATGTTTGTGTCCATTTAATACAATCTAAAGGCTGGCATTACTGTTTTAAAGTTATAATAGAATTGTATAGTTTATATACTCTTGTTTTCAAAAATCATCTGCTCATATGTTTGACTTAATTGAGAATTAGTTTTTGATCAGTAGCACATCCCTCACCCAATGTGTGGCATTATTTATTTGGCAAAATACGACCCACTTCATAATGGTCTGCTTTATGACATAGCTTCCAGGAACTCACTGTGGTAAAAACTGGGGACTTTCTGCACCACTTGTGTTGGACTGTACCTTCCCTGATCTTACCATCAGCTCAGTTGAAGGTGACTCCCCATTATCTTATCAAGGTAGCACTGGCAAGAATGTGAGGTGGTGACCCTGAGGATGGTGGCTCAGACTCTTACCACCAAAAAGTACCTGCTAGGGATAAGACTGTGCTCTTTATACCTCTCTTCCGAGAAAAATTTTAAAACTTAACTGTTATTTACCCAGCTGTTTTAATCTCCCTGGCTGTTGATCTTCAACTTTTGATAATGTAACTGAAAAGTCAGACACTTTACTTTGTATTCAATGCTCTGAATGTCAGACCTTAATCCGAACACACTGGATCCTAAGGTCTTAGCTCAACTATCTAATGGCCTTCACACTAATAATAATCCAGAGTTCCTTCTCAATTAGGAATCTATAAAATACGATGTCGGCCTATTTTATCTATCGTCATCAGGATTATTATATTCAATTCAAAGGTCCTGTGACACAGGGAAAGAAGATCACTTTGGAATGCCTGGATTCAAGCCCTGGCTCTGCCATTTGAAAAATGAATACTTTGGCTAAGTCACAATGAATCAGAACCACAGTTTACTCTTTTACAAGTTGGAGGTAATTATAGTGTGGCAGAGACAACATAGATGTGTTCACCAAATCCCATCTTATTTTCCTTTTCCTGGACAGCAAAACGACAACATTTCTCAGCCTTCCTTGCAGTGAGCTTGGAGCCAGGAGAACTGGGCTATGAAGAAGGAGATTTAATTCCTAAAATACCCCCATTGGGAGCTCCAACTCTCTCTCCTTCTGCTACGGTAAGCTCAGAGGCCATGTGTTGAGATGTTTTCTGTATTTTCTTAGATTTTTTATTTTTCTGTGTGACATCCATCAATCACAGGCCAACTAATGGCCAAAGCTGTTTACATCTCCCCTGCGATCCAGCTTTTACCAGCACAAAAAAATCAAATCACAAACAAAACAATCCTGAGTCCATACCTCCTACTGCTCTCTTTATCTAACTCTTACATACCGAGCCACAATTTTCCCTGCCCTAAATCACCCAGGGCTGGGTGCCAGAAAACTAGGGCCCAGAACCCACCTCTAGTAGCCCAGCGCACCCCAACATTATTCCAACTATCCAATCCTAAGATGCTTCGCCTGCCCTGCCTTGCCTTTCCATGAGAAAACATGAGGAAGCCTCTGGGCCAGACCTTCCCCTCGTGCCTGCTTCTGCCTCCTGACTGACTCTGTGCCTCCCCACGTGGTCCTATGTGGTGCCCTGTACTTCCCATTTCCAGAGGACCTGGGGAACTATACGCTTTTCTTCCAATGGCATTGACCATTCCATGTTATCACTCAGTCATCTTTATAAATTAAGACCCAGAACCAAATTAAGATAATGGTTTCGTAAGATGAAGAATCTTTGCTGACCAGCATTGGACTTGTATGACAGGGTGATCAACATTTGTTTTGCTAAAACACTGAAATTTTAGCAGTTCTTTGTTTCTGCAACTTAGTTGAACATGTCCCGAGCAATACAAAATCCTTACTTTCAAGGTTATTCTAATGATTAGGAAAAAAAACCCAAATGTATATAAAGTACGTAACAGTTCATAGTACAATGTAGGAACTCAAAACATGGTAATTATTATTATAATTGTTATTCAACAACAATCCCTAAAAATACTATGTGTAAATAAAGCAAACCTGTTTCTCTATTACCCCATCAGGTAGAAAAAGAAAAACAGATTTTTCACCAAATATAGAAGACATGTTTGAGACATTCTGACTTAAAACAGAAATTTTGGTGTTAAAAAACTACACTTTGGCAGTTTGTTCAGAGACAGGGAGTCAACCTTCAGAGAAGCTAAAACCAAGGATAAAAACTTACTCATTGGGAGTGGCACTCTGTCCTAGACATTACAGGCAGAAAACAGTAGTGACTTCGAAGGAAGCCCATATCAAAAGACAAGTACAGATGCTCTAAATTATAGTCATCGTTTTGCTTCCAGTTTCTTCTCACATGGACAATCTACATAGCCAGGAATCAGCAGCATTTATTAAGAGGTGCATAGCCAGTCACTCTGTGCATCTCTTCACACTTATAAAGCACCCACAAACATCCTAATAGCCATATGAGATGATCAGGTAAGTCATTTGCTATTAGTACACAGAGAAGTGAGTTTCCTGTGTAGAATGGTAAATTACGCCCTCCCTCTTTCCACTTCCCTTTCCACTTGCATTTTCCATATGGACTCCAAGAACTTAGAGATTATATTTTTCTCCAAATGTAAAATCAGGAAAAGTTTATAGGCAATGGATGTCATTAGAATCCACACAGATAATTTACAAACTTGCTGCTAACAGTGAATCCATGGGCCAGGAGCATCAACATCACTTGGAGCTTAGAAATATGGAATCTCAGGCCCCACCCCAGACCTACTAAGTCAGATTCTGAATTTCAACAAAATATCCAGGTAGTTTCTGTACACATTAAAATTTGAGTAGCATTGCTCTAGAAGAGTATCTGTAATTGCGTGACTGAAATTTGAGGACCTCTAAATTGAATCAAGAAAATAGCATGTAGACTCAGGGAAAACAAGAGTAGAGTGCAGTTGCAACTAATAAGCCTGAATAAAAGTAAAGTTTATTCTATCTGAAAGTAGAAGCTGTTAATGGAAGAGAAACAGACTGCTTAGAATCTAGACAAGCATAACCCAAAAAGCAACATTTTCCTTGTGTCTTCTTCACTATTTAGCAAAGATGACCCTCTGATCTACAAATCTGTATATTTATTTTAAGAGATGATGAGTGCATTTGACCATCAAGTTTGGCATCCCATGTAATCTACTTATAAACAGATTTTATGTGTTCCATGTAACTTTCTGATTATAATTTAACTGCCCATATCATGTAGCTTTTCTAAATGGAGAGACTGACCAATCAGACCAAAACATTCTAGAATGGCTATCTATGCTCAAAATCTGATTGAGTGTGGTTAGGACAAACAAGTCTACTTGAGAAAACAGAGGCATAAAGTCATTAAGTAACTTGACTAAGTTATGAAGTGACAGAAACAGGATTTTAACCCAGGCAGTTCAGTACCACAGCAGAGAGTGCTCTCTTGATCACCATGCTACGTGGCCTTCATCTTGTCTCTCAACAATTGTTACACATTGGCCTCTTCCGATTTCCCCCACCCATCATTTTTAGATTAAGTTCAAAAACACAAGCAGATCTAAGGTGCCAGGAACTAGAACTTTTGATATGACCAAGACATTAAAGCCTCAAGCCTAAGTAGGTGACATTTTCTCCTATGTGGCTGAGGATGCTCCCTTGGGGTTTGCAGGTTAAACCACAAATGTGCTGGATCCTAAGAAGTCATTCTCTAACTTGTACCTCCTCAGACTTCTTCCTCTGGTCTTGAGAATGAAATTATTCAGATGCCAATGCCAAAGGGGGCTAGAAAAAAGACAGGGGGCAGAGTTCACTTTGCTTGAGGCTTAGGTAAAGAGGAGCCCAATTAACTCAACAAATAACTCTACTGGGGTTTATACCAAAAGTTTTATAGAAATATACAACATGCTTTGCATTACCAGGATCTCTATATTTCTCTTGGAATCAACACAGGAAGTGGCAGCAGCTGCACAGAACTCAAGGATTTTTCAACCCTGGATAAGTGGTTTGCAATCCTTTGTCTACCCCAGCACACCTGTAAAATACAACACATTTCCTTAAGTTACAGTGGCTCACTTCCAATAAGATTTATAAAAGACTACATGTTTCCACTGCTTTCCAGCAGAAAATAATAAAGCTGTGTTTTTCAGTGCTTTTTATGCTATATATTAATACATGTCATTGCCCTAGGGAGAAAACTCAATTTCCATAAAAATGAGAAGCAATGTGAGACTTCATATCAACTTAAACTAAACCTGAACACTTGGTATGCTTCTATGTCCCTTCTGCTTCTTGTCAATATCAAAGAAACAAAAGTGTTATCAAAAAGGCAAAAACTAATATGTGCAGTGACTTAGTTCATTCTGTGTTTGTTAGAAAAGTAACAGGATTTATTTTATTATGCATTTAAAATGTATGTAATCAATTCCCCCATTATTTTCAAATAGTTTCTAGCTAGCTAGCTAGCTAGCTATCACTCTCTAGAAGACTCTTAGGACTACTTTCTGAGGGTCAGAAGGAAGTTATTTGCATATGATCACCCAACAAATGAAAATGCTAACATCTGGTGTTAACTAATTTATTTATAAATGTTGACCATGGCAGTTGATGAGTTCATTTACTGTTTATAAAAATTGTATAAGTGTCTATTAACTTAATATTTTTTAAAAGTAGATTTAGAATTTCCAAAACATGTAAAATTAAACAAGTCACCTATTTTTAACTTAATATGGAGCACTAAAAGTTTACAAAACTTGAGTGTACTTCTGACAGTTTATTTACTATTTTATTAATTTTTTGAACCATGTTTACTTTTTTCAAGGGTTTAAGAGTTTAAAGAAGCATAAAATGATCTATTCATGAGCAATCAATTGAGGTGCAAGACACTATAAGGAACTGTAAGAGATATTCATGAAACACTGAGGGGAGACCAGAGAGTCTACCACATCAAAATGAATTTCAACAACAGTGATGCTGGCCAGGAAATTTGAAGGAAGGCAAGCACAATTGTAAAAGAGGAGAGCTAAATGGCATAGATTAATCAATAAAAGTATTGATTAATGAAAAGAATCAATGTATAGCAGCATAAGAAATATGCTACAGTTATGACAACTGTAATGCATGATATTTAGGATAAAAGTTAAATACAATTCAATGAATATAATAATTTTATTAATAACTACTACTATCAGCTAGAGAGAGTTTATGTTATGACTTATATAACTAAAATGTAAAGCAGAAATAGGCATCTTTATATCTAAATATTGGTGCCAAGCAATTATTGCTTTAAGATAATTTTCAAGGACTTGCTGAACCAAATCACTGAATCACCAAATTGTTGTCCAGAATTTAACAAATTGTCAAATAAGTTTACTTTTCCACCAAGTACCTGTTTCCCATACCATTGTTAAGGATGAGTGGTGTTTTTTTAATTAAAAATTTTCCAATTTGCTAAGCAACAAAACTTTATTATTTTAATTTCTCTTTTATTTCCAGTGAAATTGAATAGCTTTCTGCATATTTCTTAGACTTTAATATTTGTTTTAGAAATTTCCTGCTTGTGCCCCCACCAAGTTTTCCATTGGAATAATCATTTTTATCTTATTGGCCTAAAGAAACATTGGTATATTCTGGCTATTTATATACCATCTATGTTAAAACATTTTTCATGATTAGAAATTTTCTTTTTAATTGTTTTAAATAGTTCTATTCTATTTAAGAGGCAAGTGCTATCATTTGAATGTCTCCTCCAAAATGCATGTTGAAATTCAATTGCTCTTGTGATGATATTAAAATGTGGAACCCTTAAAAGCTGATTAGGCCATGAATATTCCACATTCATGAATAGATTAATGTCATTATCTCATGAGTGAATGAGAATAGGTTATTATAAAAGCGCATTTGGCCCCCTCTTGCTCTTTCTTGCTTTGACCTCACTTGTCCTTCTGCCTTCCACCATTAAATGACACGACATGAAGGCCCTTGAAAGATGCGAGCACCATGTTCTTGTACTTCCCAGCCTCCAGAACCATGTGACAAAGAAATTTCTTCTCAAACAGGCAACCTACAGAATGGGAGAACATGTTTGCAATCTATCCATCTGATAAAGGGCTAATATCCAGAATCCACAAGGAACTTAAACAAATTTACAAGAAAAAACAAACAAACCCATCAAAAAGTGGCAGAAGGATATGAACAAACACTTCTCAAAAGAAGACATTTATGCAGCCAACAAACGTATGAAGAAAAGCTCATTATCACTAGTCATTAGGGAAATGAAAATCAAAACCACAATGAGATACCATCTCACGCCAGTTAGAATGGCGATCATTAAAAAGTCAGGAAACAACAGATGCTGGGAGGATGTGAAGAAGTAGGAATGCTTTTACACTGTTGGTGGGAGTGTAAATTAGTTCAACCACTGTGGAAGATAGTGTGGCGATTCCTCAAGGACCTAGAACAAGAAATACCATTTGACCCAGCAATCCCATTACTGAGTATATACTCAAAGGATTATAAATCATTCTACTATAAAGACACATGCACACGTATGTTTATTGCGGCACTATTCACAATAGCAAAGACTTGGAACCAACCCAAATGCCCACCAATTATAGGCTGGATAAAGAAAATGTGGCACATATACACCATGTAATACTATGCAGCCATAAAAAGGGATGAGTTCATGTCCTTTGCAGGGACATAGATGAAGTTGGAAACCATCATTCTCAGCAAACTAACACAGGAACAGAAAACTAAACACCACATGTTCTCACTTGTAAGTGGGAGTTAATGAGAACACATGGACACAGGGAGGGGAACATCACACACTGGGGCCTGTTGGGGAGTGCGGGCTGGGGAGGGAGAGCATTAGGAGAAATACCTAATGTAGATGACGGATTGATGGGTGCAGCAAACCACCATGGCATGTGTATACCTATGTAACAAACCTGCACGTTCTACACATGTATCCCAGAACTTAAAGTATAATAATAAAAAAAATCTATTCTGCCATATTTTCTGAATTTGTTTTGTAATAGGCATTTTTACAATAAAAATAACAATGAATGATATGAAAAACAAAATTTCTTTTCAAGTTACTCAGTCTGTGATGGTCTGTAATAGCAACACGAAATGGGCTAAGACAGCAAGCAACTGAGTTATAGTCTATTTAGGTTTATAGCAACAAATCTGTACCTAGCTGACCTTACACCCTCATTGGCTTTCAATGCCTCTTCTGTTTGCCTGAAAGATAGAAGCACCACTGTGTCTTATCTCACTGCTATCTCTTCCTTCAGAGGTGAATGCACTTCAGCAGTTTTCAAAACTCTGAGCTGATACTTCCTAAATCTATGTCACTATCCTTAACTCAGACCCCTCTATAAACTGGTACTATGGTTTCATTTTACTGACAGATCCTTCTAAGATTTCATTCATTCATCTACCACTCCAATGTGTATAGCACCCCTTGTGCATACCTACTAAATATTAAATATTGTGAAGTTTTATCATCTCAAATGCAAAGATTTCCAACCAAATTCAGCTGCTGTCCCACATTCCATCCTGCCCTTTATAATTTCTCTCTCTACAAATTGTATCCCTAACTTTCTGCTGCTTTATCTAAAATGTCATGACTCTTCTCTCTCTGTTATTACCACATGCAATCAGTCTCTGTTAATTTTTCCTCCAGTGGCTTAAAAATTAACTCCTTTTTTCACGCAGCTGCCATGCTTGTCTAAGGCCTCATCATGTGGCACCTGTTTAATTAACTGCCATCACCTTTTACTGGACTCACTGACTCCCACCTGTTTCTCACTTCAATTCATTGTGTACCCTGTGCTGAATTACTCTTCCTGCAGCATGGCTCTGAAAATGTCATTCCTCTGTTCAAGAATTTTGAGTGCTTCCTTCTGCTTATGGAAACAAGCCCCCAATTTGCCAGTCCCTCAGTGGAGATTTCTCATAAGCGGGATTCTCCCTATCCCAACTCATATTTCACTCTTCCACTTCAGAAACACGTTTGTTTAACATTGTTTCTGCACTATCCTCCACACAAGCCTCCGTGCCTTTGCTCATCCAACTTTGATTATACCCCTCACTTCCCTCTATTAGTCCAAACTCAAACAAACTAACTCTTCAGGGCACAAGTCAAGTCTTTTCCAGAAAGCTGGCCCCAGCTAAAACCACAGTTTAGTTTTCTTAGAACTGGAGTAGACTTCATAGAGCACCCTCAGGGACTCTAAGCCTCAAAAATATTAAATTCTATTCAACAAAAAATTATTGAATACTCATTATGCACTAAGCCCCAGACTAGGAACTGGGGACAAGAAAAACAGATAGATGTGATCTCTCTTTTCAAGGAACTCTTGCCTTTTGGAGGGTGTAAAATATATAAACATGCAATTGCATTAAAAGCTATCAAGTTCTAAGATGGAGACAAACAGTGCTGTGAGAATGAGAGGGATGGGCATTTAGTCTAGCTGAGGAGTCAAGGAATGATTCCTAGTTGAGACATCATGTGGTAAGAATGTTAAAGATGAGTGAGAGCTACCAAGACAAAAGTGGGAAAGAAATATGAGACAAAGGGAACAAAATAAATGAATGCAGAGACATAAACAGTGGGAAGGAGGTGAGGAACTAGAAGCCTGGTAGCATCAGACTATAACATTGTGAAACAAGAACTGGTGAGAGATGAGATGGGAAGTGACGGGAGAGGCTAAGCCAGGCATTTGGGGTTTTGTAAACTGTATTAAGAACTTTGTACTCTAATCTGTAAATGATGAGGAACCATTAAAAATGTTTATGCAAGGAGGTTAAATGACTGGGTTTTGCTTTTAGAAAAAGCGTGCTCCGTACATTGTAGAGACCAGATTTAAGGGAAGCCAGTCAGGAGAAAAGAAACTACAGATTGTGATGCTCCAAGGAGAGGACAAGGACCGAAGTAGGGACATCGTTATCGGGAATGGGCCTGAAAACAGATTTAAAAAAATAGTTATGAGCTAAAACCATTAGGCCTTGCTGATTGCCGAGATGTAGAAGGCCCAGGACAATGAGAAGTCTTACATAATTCTTTAATCTCTGGTTTGGGCAACAAGATGGTGATGCCAGTAATTAAGCGAAAAATAAAGGAACCATTGGTGAACAGAGAATAACAATGAAGACAGTTTCAGATATGTTGAGTTTGAGATTCCTCTGGGACATATCAAGCTAAAGATTTATGAGTTCTAGGGTAAAGATTAAGTTTGACATTAATTGTCATTCCAATGACAAATGAAACAATACAGGGATGAAATTCCCCAAGCAAAGTATGTAAAGAAATGAAGACTTTGGGGTAATGATGGAAACCTGGGGTATTGTAGTTACTGGACACACAGAAGAGGAAGAGCCCCCAAAGACCAGAAAGAAATGACTCAAAGAAGCAGGAGGAACGCCAGGACAGATTGGAGACAAGAAAGTAAACCAGAGGGTTTTAAGATAGGGCATAAGATACGGACTGAGAAAGCATCCTTGGGTTTCGCAATACAAAGTTCATTGGTGACCTTTAGAAGTGAGTCTAGACTCCGAACTGTGATGTGTTGAAGTGTAAATGAATTACAGTCATGAATACGTTCACTTAGCTGAAAACGAAAGGAGAAAAATTAGGGCACAGCTAGAGGGGATGCAAGGCCAAGAAATAGCTGACTGAGGCTAAAGGAATAAAGATTGCAGAGGCACACAGTAAATGAGGGTCTTTATTTAATTACAAATATACAGTTTAATACTCAAAAATATCTTTCAAACACAAGATGAGAAGGGAAATAAAGTTTCATGAATTGCCTCACAAAGTAGAGTTCTAGCTACTTTTTGTACAGGAATATTATGATGTTTCTCTTTTCACTGGGACCCAGAAGCACGCAGAGCTGGCTCCTCTCTTCGTTTCATCATGTGTTTCCTGGGATCCTTGAATGACTCAATTTCGGGGTGTAATCATTTTGCTTTCAGGGAAGCTGAATACTATTTTTGTGAGGAGTTATTCCACCACCATGTGGCCACTCTTGAGAATAGCATTTTTTCTCAGCTTCCTCCTAGAGCTAGCTACTGGGTTGAGTTCCCAGAGAAGGAGAATTCTACAGCTCAAAGAGCTTTAGAAAGCCTCTCTTTATTTTGCAGATAATGAGAGCAAAGATGACTTGCCTAATTTTTCAAAAGTTCCTTATATTTTAACTTATGAATATTTTATACATTATGAGTGATTATATATACAAAAAGCAGACAACAAAAAACACATACAAAATCTTTCCATGTTCATTCAAACCCAAGGATAGCATCCCTGTCAAATGGTCTTAAGTAAAAAATATTGATGAAATACAGCAATACACAGAGATCATTGTTTCTAAACTAATCTTTAGCAACAACATCCTGCCTTGGGGCTAACATGATATTTTGTTTAAATTTAAGCCATTTCCAGGAAAGTTTTAATTTCTGCAAGTTCAAACAGATTGGTAAAACAGAAAGCACACCTACAAAGGATCAATCCTAAGGTGATAATTAGAATATGTTTATTATCTTAAGATATAAAACCCAATTCTATAATATCTTTTGTCATTTTGCTTTTCTCTATCATTTTTTCTGATAATAAAAATAACAGATGTCATTAAAGAAAATGTGAAGTTTTCAGGGGAAAAAGACATAAACGTCACTAAAAGATTTCATAACCCAACAATATTTTTTTAAAAAAATTAGCATTCTTACTCCCTTAAAAACGCTTTAAGTTAAAGAAATCAAGCTCATTATTTTATTTATCTTGATGAATTAGCTAAGAGTTAAAAAATGATTTCTTATGTTTACAGAAGTTATTGCACTCTCCATCCATATTAACCCCACTTA